CTGCTCCTCACATGGCCCTTGTTTTCTCTCTTAGGCTTCGTCTTCCCCACGTTCTGCACTTTCTTTCTCTTTGGTCTTTCATTTGTTGCCTTTGGCCCGAGTCTCCAGCTCCGGGTAGCCCAGTCCTGTCTCTGCATCATGGAGATGTGACCTCCTCACTTTGGCCATCACCTTCTGTCTTGGTCTTGCTTCTTCACGCACTGAGGGTGGAGGCCCCAGGCAGGGCTGGGGTAGTTGGGCCTGCTGGGGCTGGGAGGGAAGGGCAAAAAGTAGGCATTCCACTGTAAATCTCTCCTTTGCACTCCCATCTCCAGTTGGGTGTGTGGGGGGGTCTTCTTTCCACTCACCACCCAGCTCCACCTCCAGCTTTGTCCCAAGACAAACTTCTCCAAGACATTAAAGAATTGGGTGGGGGTGAGGGAACCCATTGCAAGGACGGGACGTTGGCTGGTTCGTCCTTTCTACCCCCAGTTGTCAGTCTCGGTTCCCTGCGTCTGGGTCTCTCAAGGATCAATCACTGGGGGTGGCCACCATGCAGTGGGAGAGAGGTGGGGAGCAGCCGAGAAAGAGTTAAATCCTTTGCTTATTCTGCTTCCTGCCTCCAAAAGAGGAACAAGTCTGGGCTGGGGGGCAGGATGCCTGGGTCCTTGGGGTGGGGGGTGGGCAGCAAGGGATGTTGGATGTGTCTGTCCTGAAGGAGAAAATAACACGTTGGGTGCAGGAGGAAAGGCAGGTAGTGTGAGGATGAGAACTTTTCCCCTTCCTGGCCTTGGGCACAAACCACAGTATAAAAATAACCTGAGACTGTGTGTCTGGGCCTTGTCAGGACCGGTCAGGACCGGCTCCCCCCACCCCCTCCTGGCCTCAAACTCACGTCTCTCATGCCACCCCCCACTTTTCTTGAGTTCTTTCATTCAGTTCCTACCCCAGGGGGGAAGATGCGTTTCCTTTACTGGTCCGTGTCCACACACTCTTCCAAAGCAAGCTCCCTTTGCCCCAAGCCTCAGCTCTCTGTATCCTTAAGCCCTGCCTGAGCTTCCCTTGGGCCCACAGACCCTGCCCCTCTCCCCTCTGTGCCCCCAGTTCCCTTTCCTTCCCCCACGTCCTGATTCCTTCCTATGCCCCTGCCTCTGTGCTGCTGTTTCCCTGCCCCAAAGTTTGTGTTCCTCCTACACTCCCCCATGCCTCTTCTCCCCGGGTTGCCTCTAACAGGGGCCTGGAGGAGGGCGGGGGGCACCACGTGGGCCCCCTTCCTCTGTTCTGTCCCGCCAACCACCCTGGACTCTCTGTTCTTGGCTTTTTCCGAGAAGCTGGGGCCTCCTGGGGCCTCACAGAGGCGTCTTGTTCCTGTGGCCCCCGCCCTTTTGCAGCTACCCCCAGCGCCAGTTGGGCTGTGTGGGTCCACGCCCAGGCTCCGCCTCTCTCCATCTCCGTAACCGCTCCGGTCCCCAGCCCCCAAGAGCCAAGCTCAGGAGCAGAACTTCATCTGAGTCCCTAGAAGTTTGAGAGGAGAGGCTAGAACGGGTAGTGGAGGGGGGAGGGGGGAGGAGGGGGAGGACCAGTTTCTGAGGATTCATTCATTCTACAAATGGCTGTTGAACAAACTACAAGCTCTGCCCTCTGGAGCTTACCTTCCAGCAGCAGGGAGGCAAAAATACTTTAATTTCAGATAATATTAGGGGCTATAAAAAAAATAGAACAGTTCAGTGGAATTCGTGAGTCACAGGATGGAGAAATGCCTCTGAGGAAGTGACGTTTGAGTCGCCTTAAGAAGTCAGGTAACAGAAGGTACAGACTGACTGGCCTCTGATTAGGGGTCCTAGTTCAGGTGGGGGAAGGGTACTGGAGTGCAGACCAGAGCCCCTCTCCGATACCCCGTGAGCCACTTTTTAGAAGCCACTCACCCAGTCCTTAGCATGGGTGCTGTTTCCCTTGTCTCTAGTACCTCCTTCCCCAGAGCCGGGGGAAAGAGGGGCTGCGGGGGTAGGACGCCTAGGTCCGTTGTCTTCAGAAGACAGGGGGTGTGTGGGGAGAGCTGGGAAGGGAGGAACACTACTAGGCAAGTTGTAAGGCGGCCGGATCCATTCTCTCACTCAAATTGACAGTTCCCACCTGTCTGTCTCCAGGTGCCCCCACTCGACTCTCGCCCCAGCTCCCCAGCCCTCTACTTCTTCCCCGATGCCAGTCTGGTTCACAAGTCTCCAGACCCCTTTGGAACAGCGGCTGCCCAGAGCCTCAGCTTCGCCCGCTCCATGCTGGCCATCAGTGGCCACCTGGACAGTGATGACGATAGGTAGGTGGGCTTGGGTTCCGCACCCAGCACCTGGGAAAGCTGAGTGAAACTGCCTGGTAGGTGTCCTTCCCTCTACTTGAACTTGGGGATGACCTCTTAAACTGAGAAGCCTGGCCTGGGCATAACACACTGGGCAAAGCTGATTTGAGACCTACTCCCTCCCTGTGGAGAGAGCTGGGTGGGACTCCCTGGCTTAGGACTGTCAAATGGTAGACTTTTTTAGAGTTTGAAGGGAGTCATTGTTGTCAAATTCCAGAGCTCTTGCAGATTTAGCATCATCTGGCCAACCCGAAGAATTTACTGGCAAATGTTCAGGAGACCAGAATAGGGAGTTGGTCTCCTCCCAGTTCTCCCTCTCCCTACGGAGGGGAATGGGACTCCTGCAGAGTCCACGCAGGCTACTTTAGGATCCTGGGACCTCTGGTACCAAGAAAGCATGTCCCTAAGGTTCGGTTTTCTGTGCTAGGATCACCATGGAGGCTGAGCACTCCCCGGAGGCCAAGGCCAAGCCAAAGCCATGGAGAGGCTGGCTGTCGGTCACAGGGAAGGCACAGGAGAGCAGGATCTCCTGGGGTTCGCCCTTCAGGGGAGAATGTCCCGTTCATGGCACGGTGGGCAGAACTTCCTGTTTTGAGGGCCAGGTTTCAACGTAGCAAAGTCAGCAAGCTGAAAGGGGAGGAACAAAATCGCGAGTCAGATGGCCTAGCTGCTCCCTTCTGGCTGTGGACTGATACGAACCCAGGAGAGGGGCCAGGGAGTTGCCACTTTTATTTTGGAGGGAGGAGGGGGACTTCCGGTTCAAAGCCTGGGGGAGGGACTTCCTGTTTGGAAGGCACTAGGGGGCGGGGCTTAGTGGGAAGTGGGGGACTTATTTCAGCGGAGTTTCTCCTTCCTGCCCTAGAGTCACGTGGCGACCCCCCCACCCCCCTTCTCCAGTCAGGGACTGAGGCCTTGGTGGGGGGCAGAGAGGAAAGAGAAGGGGAGATAGGGGCCGGTGGGATGGAGGGCGAGGGGCCTGGTGGAGGTACTTGGAAAATGAGGGACAGAGCAGGGCTGGGCAGGGCCGCATCTGAGCTCCCTGCTCTAAGGAATGTGTGAGGTGTGAGGTTGGCCAGGCCTGGGAGAGTCACCTGCTCCCATCGCTGCTATTCTCAGCGCTTCCCACCCGCTCCCCTCCCACTTGGGAGGTTCCCTGGCACGGAGGGCTCCCTGTCCCTCCCCCACCCCTGTTGATCTGAGAGGCCAGCTTCCAGCTTTCTCTTAGAGAGTTCTGCCTCTAGAAGCCTCCTGAACTCTATTCTTTTGGCTTGTCCCCTCCCTCCCCTCCTCCCTCTGTCCCACCCCCTCAAACACCCCAGTCTGACCGGTCTGCCTCCCAGCCTCCACTTTACTCTGCTGAGCTCCAAGCTTCTGGGGCTCAGGCCCAACCCCTCGTGCTCCACCCTGCTGGGCCAGCGTGTTTGGGCTGGGCCACCTCCTTGGCCCCCTGGAATGGGGCGTGTAGCCCCCACCTCACCTGTCTGGTGTGCTGGGAGCTGGCAGAACAGGGTCTGAGTGGCATGCGACCTCCCTTTTGAGAGGGAAAGTGGGCTGGGGTACTAAGTGCCTGGATCCCAGATGGGGAGTTGGGGATGCCTGACCAATCCTAAATCTGGGGATGGGAGAACAGAGGGTACATGGTGAATTCATGCCCCCAACAGGGCCTGGCAGTTGGGAGGTACTTTAATAAGTGGATGGATGGATGCATGAGGGGATGGCTGCATAGGTGGGTAGATGGCCAGCATGGGGGATCCAGGCATTACAGGGAATGAATTCCAGGAACTCAGGAAAGAAAAGGTATGTTTATCCAGTGCTTCCTTGGGGTCAAATGCTACCTCTTATCTCACGTAATTCTTAAGAGCAACCCCAGGATCCCCACTATCCAGATGAAGAAACTGAGAGAGGAGGAATGTTTTTAGAAACTTGCCCACTGTCACCAGCTAGTAAGTGGCAGGACTGCTGTTGGAGCCTGGGTCGGACCCCAAAGCCACTTTCTCTCCCCTCTCCTACTGGAATGCCTGTGTCCCAAGAGAAGAGGAGGAAGCAAACATCTCTGCGATGCCCTTTCTCTCGAGGACAGAGGCAGGGACAGCTCTCCCACTCTGGGCAAAGAGCCATCCTCCCCCCCCCCCCCCCCCCGCCAACAGTCCTGAACTGCACGGGCTCCCTCCAGAATGCCCACCAGAACCCTCCCGCCCCGCCGCCCCACCCCGGAACCCCCAGCAGGAAGCCGGGGAACCCCCACCAACTCCTTTCTGGTCTCTGCCAGACAGCCTGGGAAGGCGGGGGAGGTGGCAGGAAATAACAACCCCAGGCCCCTTTATCTACCCTCAGCACTGCCTGGTAACCTTGTGGGGTGTGGTGGAGAGGATTTGGGTCCCTTCCACGCCACCTGGCAAGCCAAGAGAGATGGCTTCCTTCTGAAGTTTTCAGTGGAAAGTGAGGCACGGGATAAATACTCCCCCCCCCCCCCCCCCACACACACAGATCCAGGAGGGAGTGTAGACGGGGCAGCCAGGCTCCTGGGGGCTCATCAAAACACTGTGAGGGAGCAGGGCTGGCCCTTGTCCCCGGCATCAAAACCTCCCCACCTCTCCCAGATGTCCTGTTTCTTCATCTGATCATTTTGAGGCTGTTTCATTTGACCTTCAAAAAGGAAGACCAGCCTCTACAGCTGTCCTTGCCCCAGGACCTAAGAGTCCTGCAGGGCCAGAGTCCCCAGGTGTGCATGTCGTGCTCTGCACAACTCCAGGGGGCACCACTCACATTTGAAGTCACTGTTGACACTTGAAGTCATGACAGTTTTCGAGAAGATGGCAATAAGTCTTGAAAATTTTATTCTGACTCATACAAAGTTGCTTTGGGGGCTTGTGGTGAAGGCTGATCCCATCTAGTCAACCCCAAGCTTCCCACTCCTGACCCTGCTCAGGGATTCCAGCACAGTGCCAGGCAGTCCTTCTCTCAGGGGTTCTCAAAGGGAGGGCTTGGGTTGCCAGAGTCCTGGTCCCTTGAAGTGTTAATGTTAGAATGTGCCAGTGGAAAGTGCCATCAAAAACTCTCCAGTGCTAGTCAAACAGGAGATAATCATCTATCAGCCGACAAATGTTTACTGTTGTATTATTCTTTTATTTCTGGCAAGAAGGAACAACTTACTTGGCATCTTTACTGAGTGTTCACCAAGCAAGGCCAGTGTTCCTATTCCTGTGAATCTGCCCCTCTTTGGTCTCTGTGTGTCTGTGTACCGGTGGCTGGGGGGAGAGTTCTGTGGTGGCCCAGTCTCCACCCAGGTGTCTCGGTTTGAAATAGCTTGAAAACTGCTTTGACGCTGCAGCTGGCTGGCCTCCCTCTGCTCTCAAACTTGTTCCCTCCCCCCAACCCCAGGAGGCCCAGGTCTCCTTCCCCCACCCCATCCTGTCCTTCTCTCTCAGGCCTGGTCACCCTCTTCGTTACTCCACCTGTCAGCGCCTTCTGCATCCAGAGCTTGGATGGGAAATGGAAAATCCCCAGTGCCCTCGTGCTCCCTTCCTGGCTGCAGGGCCTCATCCAAGGGTCACCTTGGATTGAGTGCTAATTCCCCCCACAGGAAAGCAAGTTGGAACTGACAACCAGGAGAGAGGGCTGGACAAGGGAGCACAAGGGTGAGGGAGGCAGCATGTTGGGGCCACCTTCCCTGAGAGGGGCAGAACTGGGGGTTGGAGGTCAGGACTGGTGATCCTGCGGTTGCTGGGAGGCATAGGTGGAGGGCTGGCCCCGGGGCCAAGGCAGCTGAGGCAGAAGCTGGACAGGTGTGGGTGGTGAGCCGCAGGGTGAGGCAGGAACCTGGGGCCTGAGTGGTGGGGAGAGGGAGCTTTGGAGGAGAGGAAAGGGTGCAAAGGACAGTGCAGGTTCTGGGACCCAAAGCCTGGGCCTGGGGACTCTTGAGCCAGGCCTGAGTCGACCTCTGGTGGCCACTTAATAAACTGCAGCCAGACCTGCTCTCCCCTCCCTGTCTTCCATTCCCAGGACTCCTCAGAGCGCCTGCACCTATTCCCAGTATCCCACCTCCAGCCTTACCTTATCACCTCTCCTTATGCCCTCGCTCCCTCCAGGATCCCAAACACCAGACTCAGGTCCCAGGTCCATAGGCTGTACTCGTCTTTCAGGCTCTGTTTCTGTTGCCATGGTAACATTCCCATTTTTTTTTTTCCCCCTCACCCTCACTGTGGGAGGAGGGGAACTCTCTGACTAGGCCCCAGGTGTCATCCCGGCTGTGGGCTTTGTGTTTCGGGCAGGTGCTCATAATCCGAGGAAGACCACAAGCATATCAGAAACATCCCCCACCACATCGCCTTCACTCCCTTTCTCACCTCCCAGCTGAGAGCAGCTGAGGCCTTGAGGGAGGCCAGTGTTGGCCCAGAGTGGGCAGGATGGGGTCAGAGGTGGGAAGAGGCCTCCTGGGGCCAGGCTGTCCCTCACCCTTCACACCCTTCCCTGCCCCAGGCCTCTGGCCCCACAGCCCCTCCCCCGACTCGGCCCCCCAGCTGACTGTCCTCACCCGGCCCCCCTCCCCTCCGCTCTGGGATTGGTGCCAGGGTGAGAAGGGGACACTGGCACTGACCGTGTCTGGGAATTCCCGCCCACCATGGAGCCGGCGGGAGGGGGTCCCCGTGTCCCTGAGGAGCCAATAGCAGCCAGGCTTTGCCCTGGGGAGTGGTATATAGCTTTCAGGCCAGCACCCCCTAGGCACTGTCTCCTTTCTGCCTGCCTGGCACCAGCCAGACTCTGCTCTGCCCGGGGGGGCTTTGAGCCCCCCAGGCAGTCCTTATGATACAGCTCTCTCCCTCTGGGGAGGCCCAAGGATCCTTTCCCCTTGGGGATGGCCCAGCCAGGGGTCTCAGTCAAGTCCCTGGTGTCCTCGTATGAGACCCGAGTGGTGGGGATGGCTCCGGGGCCTCCACGGAAGAGGGGCTGTGTCTCTTCTCCTTGTTCCCCTCGGGGAGCATCCCCCATCCGAGGGGCATCTGGACCCCCACCCCACCGGGGCCTGGGGGGACCCGGGCAGCGGCCCTCACCTCGTCGGGGGATGGACAAAACCCTCCTCTCCCTGATTCTCTACTGTCACAGGTACAGGCAGGGGTGTGGGTGGGAGGCTGCAGCAAATGGGGCTTGTGGAGGAGGCCAGAGCCTGCTCTGAGAAGCACCTGGAAGGCAGCAGGCTGGGGTGTCCAGACACCTGGCTTGGCACCTGTTCCTCCTCCTTACCTCTCATCTCCCTGTGTCTCTCCAGTGGCTCCGGAAGCCTGGTTGGCATTGACAACAAGATCGAACAAGCCATGGTAAGAGAAGCCATCTTGGTCCCAGCAGGTCCTGACTTGTGTGCTGATGCCCAGGCCCCTGCCTCCGTTGGCCGGCCCAGTACTCCATCCCTGCTGTCCTCATTATTAGGGAATACTGGCTTCCGCTCCTCGACCTGCTCCCAGCTGGGTTCCCTGGGGTCCTTCGCCCCCTCCTGAACCCTTGATATACCTTGCTTCCTAGCCTGCTCCTGGCCCCCGTCTCCGTCTTCGAGCCCTGACCTTGCCTCTGGCCGGCATCCGTGCCCATCCCAATACCCCACCCCCTGCGCCTTCCCTGTTTGACTTCTTCCCCAATGGTCCCCCATCATCTGGGAGCAGGACGCTCTCCCACACCTGGCTCCTCAAGGCACTGGGCAGGGGATGAGGTTGGGGTGGCCTGGGACCCCTGATGCTTTGCCTGTCCCTGGACCCCCAGGACTTGGTGAAGTCCCACCTCATGTTTGCGGTCCGGGAGGAGGTGGAGGTGCTGAAGGAGCAGATTCGGGACCTGGCCGAGCGGAATGCCGCGCTGGAGCAGGAGAATGGACTGCTGCGTGCCTTGGCCAGCCCCGAGCAGCTGGCCCAGCTGCCTTCCTCGGGGGTCCCGCGGCTGGGGCCCCCAGCGCCCAATGGGCCCTCAGTCTGAGCCTCCCTTTCTTCACAATGTGCCTTTGGGGGCCGCCACAGCTGCTAGGCCTTGAGCCAGCTGCCTGCCCCCTCTTCCTATGCAGCTTTAATGCCCCCTGATCCCCGGGGATGGGAGTTGAAGGCTCAGAAGTGGCCTGTCCCCCGCCCTTCCTTGATCTCCCCGTAGTGCCCAGGCACTGGGCTGGGGCATCCCTAGACATTGATGGAGGAGGGAGGGCATCAGGACAGGGTGTTAGATGGAGCCCCCCTCCTCCCTCCCTAGGGGTCAGTGTTCTGGGACCGCCCCGGCAATAGATGGCTTGGGGGTGTTGGAGGCTGCCTGGCAGACATCCCCACCTTGTTCCCTGGAGTGCCCCCCTCTCCTCTGCCCAGGGGAGGGAGTACGGAAATTATCTGGAAGTTCTGGGATTCAGGTTGTTATTAAAATAATAATTATAATTAAAAAATCCGAAGAAACTTGAATCTGGAGGTTGGCATCTCGTTGCTTGTGTCCAGATGCGGGACCTGCACCAACAGTTTCCACCTGTGGGAGAGCAACTTGAGGCTGCGGGCTCCCCTGGAGATCTTGTCCAGAGGTTTAATGTGGCTCAGAGTGGAGATGCGGAAGGAAAAGGGAGCCAGCGGCCTGGGTCCTGGGAAGGGGCAGGCGAGGCAAG